CCCCAAAACCCCAAAACCCCAAAACCCCAAAACCCCGTAGAGAAGGACAAATACTGGGAAATTATATTTTATTAATCAATAATTTGCATTAAAAATTTATGAGGCTTGACACATAGCTATGAGCTATTTCCTTCCTAGCTTCAATCTCTATATGTTATGGGTAATGGGAGAGCAACTAATAGGGAACTTACCACTATCTCGCTTTTCTTTGAAATCACCATATTTTTGTAAGGTATCAATAGAATCTCCTGTATTATTGGACTGCTTGTTCTCCATCCGATCTTCAGATTTTTCTTCGATCGTATTTACTAAGGGATTATAGGAGATATGTACCTTGGGAATGAGTATAAGTCTGCTTTTGTGTACATCTTCTGTTTGCAGGTTTAGTCATTATTCTCACGTTTTCCATTAATCCTTCGACATAATCTTTAGCTACTTCCATCTTTCCTTCAGAGACCATGACTGTTGATAGTCGTTGATTTTCATTATCTTGAACCTCCTCAACATCTTCAGGGTCTTCAGAGTCGCCATATCTGTTCGGGTTTATGCCTCCTTGTGATTGGTCAATTTGGTTATAATCTTGCATTACTAAAAGTTTAGTAGTAATCTTACACTTTTCCTCTTCTCTCTCAGCTTTATGAAACTTTTCTTGAGTGTTCTCCATCCTTTTTGATACTTCATTGTTATATTGGGAGGCTCTTCTACCAATATTATTACCATCGCTTTCAGTTTCTGAAGCTATTTGGAACCCCTTTAACTTATCAGTCATGAAGGAAGAGCCTGGTTGGTTGCCACTTATGCCTAAAGCATCAGAATTTGGGATTACTCTTCACATTGGTCATTTCTTTAGTTTCCATCGATTTGAGATTTCCTAGAGATAATTTAGATTGAGCTAGGGATATTAGTACCTCCATCTATTTGTTGATATTTGAAAGGCACCTTTTTAGGTTTCATTATCTGTTTAGTTCTGGTAAACATATCAGAAACAAAATCATGAGCTTCCAGCATAGCTCCTTCTGAGAGCCTGAGACTACTATCAGTCCCTATAACTTCCTCTTGAGGTTTAATTTCTTGCACAGGATCTTTCTTTTGTGGGATTACTTGTTTTTGTTGAAGGACTTTCTCGTTTTTAGGGGCTGTAATTTCCTTGTTGGCTAAGTTTTCTTTCATCAAAGTAGCCTTCTTAGAGGCTACTTGAGTATTCTCTATTGGTGGTAACTTCCGAGGATCATTCAAAGGAGGCAATTTTGTCTTTTTATTTGGAGGAAATATATTATCATCAAAAGGGCTTATCAATTCATCTCCTTTCTTCATCAGCTCCATTGCTGGCGTTACAGAAGGAATTTCTTTCTTCATCACAGGCTTGACTATTTCTGGGGTAGAACTTTGACCTGGAGTCATCTCATTTTTATTATCTGCTGAATTTTCCTTCTTATTTTCTATTTTAGGAGACTCATGTTTAACCTCCGGAGATTCCTTAATTTTAGGTTTAATTTCTTTTGCTTTCTCTTCCTTCTGCTTTTCTTGAACTTTTATGGGATCTACCTTTTCCTTCTATATCAGATCATTAAAGTCAAATAATTTTGGTAAAATGTTACCTTGATGTTATCAGGTTTGGCTAGATTATACATCTGGTCTTCATCGATTTTGGAGTCATCAGCTGCTTTATCATGCCTCTTAGGAGTGGCTTGTATAACATCTTTCTTGTCTAAAAGATAATGATCAAATAGGGAGAAACAGTCTTTGATGGAAATGTGAAAATATGGACACTTGGGGAGTTATTGCGTGGAAGGTATATCAGCTGGAAATATTTCCACTTGAGATTTATAAGTTCTGGCTTTGGAGTTAGAATACCCACCTTTTTCCTTCCCTGAATTTTTGTGATTTGTCGATTCTATGTGCAAGGAAAGGGTTAGATATGGTTTTTATTGAATTCGAGGGTGATATCAAGTATGGGGGTTTCAAATAATTTTATTCTAAAGGTATATTTTAAGAGCTTGTAAGGACAGTTTCGACAAATTTTGAGCTAATAGAGTAGCCAGTACTATTATAGTTAGGTATACTGGTATAAGAAGGTTTGGAGTTGCTTAAAATGGAATAGAAGATGTTTTTATGGTCTAAAACACAGAAAAACGTCCATTCCTATTATTTTTACATATTTTCATAACTCTAATCAATCTCATCAACAATTTTTCTGGTTCGACTTATCAAAATTTGAGCTAGTACTCTGAATCCTCCAGCAAATTTATTATCTAATTCTATTGGGAATACCATACCTTGTTCTTTTTGTTTAATTTTGGTAGACCTTGAGTTACCTCAGCCCATATTGATTTAATTTTATAATGTATTTTCTAAAATCAATACTAATTTAGATAATGGGGTTTTGGGGTTTTGGGGTTTTGGGGTTTTGGGGTTTTGGGG